TATACAGTCAATTCACATTACAGTATTTCTTTGAAGCGCTTTTAGACGTCTCGAAGACTTAATAAAGCGTTATATCAAATGCAAGAATTATTACTATCCCTCAATACCATGACCTAACAAATATCTATCCACCTCAGTCTTGAAGATGTGAATGGATCCAGCATCCACAGCCTTTTGCGGGAGAGAGTTCCAGATTTCCACTATGCTTTGGGTGAAAAACTGCCTCCTAATTTCACTCCTAATTTTAAGATGATGCCCCCTTGTTCTGGATTCCGCCACCAGAGGTTTCTCTGTCGCTACCTTATCGAATCCCTTTATTTTAAAAGACTTCAACAAGATCACCGAACAACCTTCTAAACGCAAAGGAATAAAGACATTTATGCAACCTATCCTCATAATTTAACCCTTTAGCCCTTTTATGTTTGACAGTAAAATTCTATCAAGGATTATTATTAAAAGCTCTCTTTCCCACCCCGTTTTTTAAAAAAATTTACAAATAGCATGAACAGCAGGAAAGACTCTGAACTGTCCCACCAAGTCAGATTTTTCCCATCAGCTCAAAATCACAGGCTAATACCACAGCATGGATGGTTCAATATAATAAGCCTTTTGGAGACTGTGTAAGGTGCCCTTAGCTGAGAGGGTTTGACTCAGTTATGACAACTGAAAGAACTCTATGTTAAGCGCTCTGGGACGCTACCCTGAATGAAGGGCGCAATATAAATAACAATCTTGTTGTTGTTGTATGTTTCCATTCATCATTTGCGACGAGTTGGACAAACGGATTCACTCCAGGGGGGAACGGGGAAAGGCATATCAGAATATTTCCCAAGCAAAATTTCTGAGATGAAACACACTGCCCAGTTAGGGGGATATTTAGGGTAGAAAATTGAAGGGGGATGCCATGCATGCTCACACACATTGCTACCCATGCACATCTGCATTACATCCTGCTATGTGTTGCAATATCGGAGGTCACTGGGGAAAAAAAAGTTTCAAAGGGCTTTGTACAAATTTTTTGATGACAAATTCTTTTGCTTTCTATTTATTTTCATTGCAGCCACGTTTATCCTCATAGGTCGCAGGCTAAAAAAAAGCAATGTTTATTTGCATATTTTACAAATTTAAATTTAAAAAACAAATTTATTTCCTATATATATATATATAAAAAAACTTTCCACAAGTAGTGGACTCTCCTTATACCCTTTAACTATTTACTGCAAGGAGCAAAACAACAGCATGCATTTATATAGCGCCCCTCACTCAGGGTAGCGTCCCTGAACAACAAGTTTAATGTCACTCGGTCCCAGGCAAAGAACATACATTCAGATTAATATTATTGCAGCACGTTTTGCATCAGTTGTCAGATAATCTTTTTTGACATTTCATTGCCCAAGGAACCCCTTTGTACCAACAAGAAACTTCCTGGTGAATTCAGAAGAGAAAGCGACTGAAATCGTAGCTGGTTCTTTGCTATTTTCCATGCCCATAGACCTACTATGCTGTATTGGGCCTGAGCCTCAGCCAAAGAATTTGTTAATGCACCTAAAGATTTATCACTGAAGAGGTTCATTCAATCACAGCTTAAAAAACACCCATAGAAGCAACAAACTCAGCTGTTTCCAAGTTTACAAATAACTGCTTTCTAAAAGGAACATCAAGGAAACTGGGATATCCTCCCAAAGTGAAATGCTCAATTTGTTGTTGTCAAAATGTCCAGCGATTGCTAATATCAAAAGCTTTATCTATCCTTTCAATAATGTTTGCGTATTTTTTTGTTTAGAAAAGGCGGCCTACTATATATACTACGCACCTTCCACAATGCATGTAGCAAAACTGCTAAGACGCAGGTTAATATGTTCACAACTGCCAGAGAAGGATGCCTGCGCAGAGGTGTGCAGATCAAGATAGTGTCCTTGCAGACTACTCATACTTGGGGTCCCCAAGTCTTGGCTCTTGCCGACCTGCCCCAAAATCTCTGGAAGTAGGTAAGCAGGGTACCATCCATCAGGGGGCAGGCGGGGGAGAAAGAGAGTGTGCGCTCCTCGACAAACAAACACAACCCATCACATCTGTGGAACATTTCAGTAGTTTTGTTTGGAGGCTGTTAAGCATGGTGAGGGGCTTCCCTGTGAATCAGATACCCAGCCGACCAAAGTCAAACACAGCACAGCATTGACAAAGACCTGCTCACCACTGAGTCCGGTTATCAAAAACGCAGTAAACTTTAGGGTTTTTATGGGGCGTCAACCCGGGAGTCTGACACAGGTGGCAACACATTATTGTGCTCAATAGTATCCCAACCAAACCTATGCATGGAAATGTCAGTGTCTGGAATTAAACTCACGCTCTCCTGCAGGACCTTCCTAATTCCAGAGAGTAGTATAAGAACCAACCAAGGCTTTGGGACCCCCATAGTGTGCATCGGGATACTAACCAGCTAAATCCGCAAAGCTTGCCATTATTAGGATATGATAAGCCACTGTGATCCACATTCCGAACATATTGTACAAAAGGGAACAACAAAATTTGTAATTACTGGTGCTCGCAGTACTTCCCTGAAGTGGGAAGCTGAATGCTGCTGATAACCAGCTCTCTCTGCACCATCTGCTGGAATCCCAACAAACTACACGAGCCGATCTTTCATCCAGTGTTTTGTAACACAATACTAAGCAGTGAACAGGAACAAACCCATCACTGAGCTGGCTTTCAATACTATATAAATGTACAGTTTTCACCATTACAGACCGTGCTTAATTCACTCAGCAGTACGCACGCTGAAAGTGAACAATAGTCTGATGTTGTCAAGGTGCAAAAACTTCACAACATCACAACATTTAAACTACGGCTGCTAATATTTATTTTATAAACTGCATGCTTAACCCAATAATTTAACCAGAAAACAGAGAAGTTGCAGTGCACTTTGAAAATCAACTGCCCTTTAAACTAGTGGGTGGGAAACAGCAACAATATTCCGATAGATGCTTCAAAAAGTGCAAGAAGGTAGCTTTAAAATGAAACAACTTCACTTATCCAGCAATGAACAAGTTGCATTTTCGGTTTACATCGCTAAAGTCTTCCAAAACATGTTGGGGAAAAAAAGGATAAAACAAAGGTACACAATGTTGCTAATGCATTGGTCTGTGTCATGTTATAAGGAAATAGAAAATAGAGGCTGATTTTAGTAAATTAACACATACATTGAACCCCTAAGCCTTCCGACCGTCAAGCAAATGGTCCCTTTGTAGATTTGCAAAAGCTTTTAGGGAATCATACGCTTACCTGGTGCTGTTTAGTACAGCACATAAACAGTCATAACGATTAAAAAAAATACAAAACTGGTTAGTTCCACCACTGTTCACAACATTGCGTTTACTTAAAAGAGTACTCAACAGTGAGTCCTCGAGGTCCGATAACTAGAAAGTGTGTGTATGAGGAACAAATAGGCGGAAAGTTTGTGTGTGAAAGAGAACCAACTGATGCATTTCAAACTCGAAACCATTTGTCATGAAGTGTGTGTTCCCCTTCCTCTCCCCTTCCCTTCCACAGGTGAATGGTGTACACTGGTTCATGTTAGGATTACATTGCATCAGTTTGTACCCCAGTCCCCACCAGGCAATGGATAAGAATGAGTGGCTGAACACGGCATCACAGTCTAATGTACACACACACATTCCACCAGAGGTCACTGGATAAGCATTAGGATCCTTCTGTGGGTTTATCCCTTCCCCTGACTGAGGGGGTGGGGGGGGGAGAGGAACTGGTCAAACCCTAACGCCCCAGGCATTCAGCAGTGAGAAGGCCAAGCCAGAAAGTGGTGGCCTTTCCTGCCTCTCTGTGTGTGTGTGTGTGGGGGGGGGGAGGGGGGGGGTTGGGGGGTGTGTGGTGTGGGGGTTGTGGGTGGCGTGTGGGGTGTGTGTGTGTGGGGGGGGGGTGGCGTGTGTGTGTGTGGGGGGGTGGCGTGTGGGGTGTGTGTGTGGGGGGATGATGTGTGTGTGTGGGGGGGGTGTGAGTGGGTGTGTGTGTGGGGGGGTGGTGTGGGGTTGTGTGTGGGGGTGGTGTGGGGGGGCGTGTGTGGGGTGTGTGTGGGGGGTGTGTGTGTGTGGGGGGGGTGGTGTGGGGGTTGTGGCTGGCGTGTGTGGGGGGATGATGTGTGTGTGGGGGGGGGGTGGTGTATGTGGGTGTGTAGGTGTGTATGGGGGGGTGGTGTGGGGTTGTGTGTATGTGTGGGTGTGTGTGGGGGGTGGTGTGGGGTTGTGTGTATGTGTGGGTGTGTGGGTGTGTGTGTGTGTGGGGGGGTGTGTGTGGGGATGTGTGTGGGGTGTGTGTGTGGGGTGTGTGTGTGTGTGTGTGGGGGTGTGTGTGTGTGTGGGGGTGTGTGTGTGTGTGGGTGTGTGTGTGGGGGGGTGTGTGTGTGGGGGTGTGTGTGTGTGTGGGTGTGTGTGTGGGGGGGTGTGTGTGTGGGGGGGTGTGTGTGTGTGGGTGTGTGTGTGTGTGTGGGGTGTGTGTGGGGATGTGTGTGGGGTGTGTGTGTGGGGTGTGTGTGTGGGTGTGTGTGTGGGTGTGTGTGTGTGTGTGGGGTGTGTTTGTGGGTGTGTGTGGGTATGTGTGTGTGTGTGTGTGTGGGGGTGTGTGTGTGTGTGGGGGTGTGTGTGTGTGTGGGTGTGTGTGTGGGGGGGGTTGTGTGTGGGGGTGTGTGTGTGTGTGGGGGTGTGTGTGGGGGGGTGTGTGATTGTGTGTGTGGGGGGGTGTGTGGGTGTGTGTGTGTGTGGGTGTGTGTGTGTGTGTGTGGGGTGTGTGTGTGTGTGTGTGTGGGTGTGTGGGGGTGTGTGTGTGGGGTGTGTGTGTGTGTGTGGGGGTGTGTGTGTGTGTGGGTGTGTGTGTGTGTGTGTGTGGTGTGTGTGTGTGTGTGTGTGGGTGTGTGTGGGTGTGTGTGGGTGTGGATGCACTGCCCTGTACACAGTGAATGTGGGGCCTGCGTGTGTCAGGCACCAACTCACCTGGACTCTGGCGACTTGTTTCTTCTTCCTCCTCCTGTTGCTCTTGCCGCCGGTGCCGCTGTTGCCGGTGGTGCCGGGCTCGGGGCTCCCCGGCTCCGGGGCTGGTGAAGTGGCCTCGGGCTCAGACTCGCTCTTCTTCCTTTTGGCCATGGTCTCGGAGCAAACGAATCGATAGGGGGGAAAAAAAAATGTAACTGATATCACAACAAAACGGCCACAGACGTCTGACACGACCGGAGCGGGTGACCGGAGCGGCCCCGAGTTCCAGCTGATCCCCGGCTCCCCGCCGTGACCGCAGCAAAACCTCCAGCCGCGCACACGTGGGGCGCGGGCAACCTAGCGTGACTGCTGGCGCCCGTCCCGCCCTTTCACCCATTGGTCCGGCCTGCCGCAGTTCTCGCTCCCTATTGGTCGCGCGTGCCGTCCGTCACCAGCAAAGGCGGGAAAGGGGCGGTCGGTCGCCATCAAGTTCGGTTGAGAAGCAGGATTCGCCAGTGGCGGCTCTGCGCAGGCGCACGCGTGAACACACCGCCCCCCCCCCCTTCCCATTGGCGAGTCGGAGCTGACCGCGCACGTGCGCTGCCTCCCTCCGCCCTTCCGCTGGAAGCGACCAGGGCAGGCGTGCCGGCGCCGCGGTGCACTCCGGGAGTTGGAGTTTCCGCCGCAGCGCAACCGTTCGAAGGCGATCCGAGGCGGGGGGGCGGACTTGACGCGACGCACTGCGCTCTGGGAGTTGTAGTTCCCGCCACGGGGCTTCTCCAATCAAACCCGGCAGAGAGAAACTACAACTCCCCGCATCCTGCCCTGGCATGGTGGTGGGTGAGCTGGAGGGAATGGAAAGAAAATAAAACTGCCGGTGTTCTTGGACAGAACGCAAAGCTTTGCTGACATTATATTAAAAAATATCTTATCGAGCAGACACCGATATTATATATATATATCACGTGTGTGTGTGTGTGTGGTGAGGGGGCGGGGCGGCGGCGGAGGAGGGAGAGAGTCGCGCGCGGGGACAGGAATAACGGTCACATCCGGGCGGCTCGCGAGTCAAACGGGAACAAAATGGTGGCTCGTCACAGGCAGCCGTCGCCGCCGCCACCGCCATCACCACCATCGTTATGATCGCCGCGCCCGACGTGGTGGCCCTGGCGCGCGAGGATGAGTGCGCGGAGCCGACTCCTCCGCCGCCGCCGGTGGTGGTGTGGCCGCCCTCTTGCCAGTCGCGGCCCGAGAACCCCTGGTGCCAGGCACCGTTCGAGCGCGATTTCATTATGATCTCCGAGTTCTCCGAGCAGGTAGGCCCTCAGCCCTTGTTAACCGTCCCCGACCATGCCCGCCTTAACTTCGATCTCAACTATTTCTCTCTCAGGATCATGTCGGTGGATTACCAGGCCTCCTTCGTGGGGCACCCGCCCGGCACGGGCTACCCCAAGCTCAATTTCGTGGAGGACTCCAAAGTGGTGCTGGGCGACTCGAAGGAGGGGGCCTTCGCCTACGTCCACCACCTGACGCTGTACGACCTGGAAGCCCGGGGCTTCGTCAGGCCCTTCTGCATGGCTTACATCTCGGCGGACGAGAACAAGATCATGCTGCAGTTCCAGGAGCTCTCGCACGAGTTCTCCCGGGCCTCCGAGTGCCTGAAGACGGGCAACCGCAAGGCCTTCGCCGGCGAGCTGGAGAAGAAGCTCCAGGACCTGGAGTACACCCGGAACGTGCTGCACAACGAGACGGAGATCCAGAAGAACTCCAACGAGAAGGGTTACTACACGTCGGTGGCCATAGAAAAGGCTAACGAGCTGGCCAACGTGGAGCGCTGTATCATCGAGCACCAGGACCTTTTGATGCAGGTCAGGACTTACTCCCACAAGAAGTCGAGGGAAGCGAGTTACGTATCTTACGAGCCGGATTGCGACGCGGAGCAACCCGAGGTAGGGTTGGAACAATCCCTGGATCCGGGCGGGCTGCCCGCAAAAGCCAACTGGTCCAACAGAAGGTCAACCTACACCCCGAAATTCACAAGGGCTAAGTCGGCAAAGTGCTTTGAAAAAAAGCTGAAAACATTAGAGGAGCTTTGTGACGTTTATTTTTTTACTCAAACCCTAGAACAACTTGGTAACCTAGAGAAATCGTTTCGAGGCGACGTGTGTTACCTGCTAACCCGCCAAATTGAAATGAAACTTCTGCAACAGCAGCGAATCACCTCGTTTCTCTTCGAGGACTGCGTGGCCTTCAGCGACGAAGAGCAAACCGAAAAGCAGCGGCACGGCTACAAACCGCTTCCAAGTCACAATATTCTCAGCCAAAATGTTGTAGAAGATCCATGTGAGTCCAATGTGGCAGCCAGTTTTGAGTCATACAAGTCTTGTGTGGAGTCTGTGCCAATTAAAATGGAGCAACAAGTGAACATAGAAAGTTGTCACCAAGCAGTGGCGGATTCCATCCCTTGTAAAAATCTTCAAGCGACTTTAGATCTACTCGATATAGAAGGGAAAGAGAAGGGGAGCATCAGCAGTGGTGAAAGTATTGAGGTGCTGGGCACAGAAAAGTCTTGGCCAAACCCAATTTTTGCCAAGTCTGAGAGCCAACCAAGTTTGCAATGCCAGTATCCAGAAGTTGTCAAGAGGAAACTTGTAGTAACCAAGAGGACAAACAGTGAGGACAGCATTGAGGTCCTCTGTACCACAGAGTCTTTGATACCAGAAGATCTCAAGGCCTCTTATCCAAGTGCAATATACGAAGAAGAGCCTGCTGTGAACAATGTTGAAGAGTGTGGGCTCCGTGCAGATGCTATGCAACCATTTACAAGTCCACAGGATGCCAATGAATTCAGCAATACCAACATTATAAGCAATCCTGTCACACTGTCTAATTTACCTGAGCCTGTAGACTCTAGTTGTTGTACTGGGAAAGAAAGCCCAATCTTTACTGAATCTAGACCTACTCTTGTGACTGAGTACAGCGATGGAATAATCAATGTTCCACCGCAACGTAGCAAGTCAGTAGACAAAATATCACCTGGAGATTCTGTAATGCAGGGGGGAGAAAATGGATTAACTAATCTAACTGCTGATCAAGTCTTGACTAGCTGTGAAAGGGAGGACAGCAATCTCCCTGGCAATGGAGAGTCTGGTCAGCTTCTACTGGAAGACTACTTGGATAGCATGAGTTACATTAGTACATCCTGGTGTTCTGATAGAACACCATCACCAGCGTTGCCAACCAGTCCAGCAAAGAGGCTCCCTGGAAAGCGTAAAAAGCAGTGTGGGAAAAATGCATTGTGGTTTATTAGGCAATATTCTTTTGCTCAGCAGGCAATCTTTTCTCTGTTGTCTGGACGGACACTCGTGGTAGTAGGTGAACAAGAAGGAAAGGTCAAGAAGCTTATCCATGCTCTGTCAATGTTTGTTCCCAACTCTGGTAGGGGTGAAGACCCCATAAAGCAATGGGTGACATTCCCTTTGCACATCCACCATTTACAAACTTGGAAACTTATCGGAGTTCAGAGGTGAGTTATGTGAAGGTTGTAATTTGACAAGTGTCTCAAAGTTCAGTTTGTCCTGGAGTTGATCCAGAGTAATTCAGTTATAAACTTGCTGCTTCGGTTTCATGCCAGCTAAGATGTTTTGATGTTGGCATGAATACAAAGTTATGGAAGATTGTACAGAAGGAGTCTTGGTTTGGTCTGCAACCTCACTTGTACATGAGGACCTTTTGTACATTGCTACCTTATTCCACTTTTGGTGCGCTAATTTTCTCTCCTTCCCAGTTTTGTTTTAGGTTCCATAAGGACTCCAAACAAATGCTGATGAATTAGTGTTTCAATTAAGTTTGATACTGGTCTGCCTTTCATAATCCTTCAAGTACTGTACATGCTGTACTCAAACTTGAAAACTCTGCCTCATAATAAAACTAAAGATAATGCCGTTGAAAGTTCTTGATGTGCTTTCTCGACAGCAAGTTATGCTTTTCATGAGCTATCATCAGTCTGTATTTGAGAAACTAAATGCTGTTGCGATGACACAATTTGGGAGCTAATTTAGACTTGTATGGTTTCACAGTTGGTTGGATTCACATTTTAGGGAAGTGTCTATGATGGTGCCTAACTTCTGCAATCGTTTTCACTTTACATCACAACCATATGACACATCCATTTATAACTTCATGCACATCATGCATTGACCAGTCTTAGGGTGTGGGGGGGAAATAATATCCCTGAATTTGATGTAGATACAAACAACATTTATATAGCAGGGTAGTGCCTCGGAGTGCTATAATGCGATGTCTCAAATATTATTATTTTGTGTTTCAAATCGATGAGTGTTTTTACAAGAAAATGGAAATGTTATTTTATGCACACCCAAGGGTCCACAAACAGCAATGACGCAAATCACCAATTACACTGTTGATTAGTTCACAGGAGAAACTCTTCTCTTTCTTCTCCAGGGTAAGTATTCTTTTTTCATTTCCATTCCTTACCTCTTCCCTGTCCTCCTCCTTTGCCCCCTATCCACCATCCCCCTCCCTCTCTGGCTTGGTCTAAACATAGCCATGAGCTATATCTTCTCCCAGTCTTCTCTCCTTCCTGGACTCTCCCACAGCCTCCCTCGGCTCCAGCCTGGGCACCTCCGCTGGGCTCACCGAGGCACTCGGCGACAGAGCAGCCACCCCAACTGCCCCATCGCCCACCTGCTCCGCAAGGCCCGCCTCTTACAGGTAAACCCTGATTCTCTCATCCAGATCCTTCCCAATTCTACCCCCATATTCAACAGTTGTTTCTCTACCCCACAATCTACAACCACCCCCGAACCCTTTCCTGCCTGTGCCCCCACTAGCATTACTCTCCAAAATGGCTGTTCCCTCTCAAATAAAGATCTTACAATCCATGACCTCAACCTGGAAGAGTAAATAAACGTTCTAGGGCTCACAGAAACCTGGCTATCCCCCGGTGACCCCGTCCCCTCGTCAAAGCCTCCCCGCCTGGTTACACTTTCACCACACACCCCACCCCAATTAATCGGCGCCATGGTGGCCATCATACTCTGGCTAGTTCCCCTCTTGAGGACCTCACTCTCTACCATCCCAACTCTCTACAAAATCTCCTGGTTTACCGCCTCCCCCCAACCCCCCAATCCTCCTGGCTCCTTCCTTGCGGATATGTCCTCTCATCCTTGTCTCTGCACAAAACGCCTGCTCACAATGGGCGATTTCAACCTTCATCTCAACTTCGCTTACACCTCTTGACACAGTCGATCATGCCGTGCTCCTGCACTGCCTCTCCTCACTCATCCACATTAGTGGGACCGCACTCGCATGGTCTGAGTTCTGCTCCATCCTTGATCCCCTTCTTTTCTTTATGGAGTCCTGTAGCTCAGTGGTTAGAGCACTCGCTTTGCAAGTGAGAGACCTGAGTTCAATTCCAGGCAGAGGGCGAAACCTTGGGCAAGTTTCCTTACTCCACACAGAGCCTAATAATAATCCCTCCAAAAAAAACCAAAACAATAATAAATTGGTCATTTTCAATCTACGACTGTTTGTGGGACATTGCTGTGCGCAATTGGTGGCCAATTCACTTTACAGTCAATTCACTTTACAGTATATTCTGTGAAGCGCTTTGGGACGTCCTCCCGACGTGAAAAGCGCTATATCAAATGCAAGGATTATTATTATTATTTATTATTTATCTACATGCTGCCTCTTAGCACTGTCATCCGCAGACATGAGGTCAACTTCCACATGTATATGGATTACACTCAAATCTACTTCTCCAGCTGCGACTCCCAGTCTGCTTTTGTCCTGTCCGCTTGTTTGACGGACATCAAGGATGAGTGCAAATTTCTTGCAGCTGAATGTCAGCAAGACGGAAGCCATATTTTTTGGCTCTCGTCAAAGTCTTTATCCTGCGGGTCTGAACTCCTCAACCTTCCTGGGCTCTCTCTCAGACTCACCGAACCCTTTGTGCAACTTAGATGTCAGATTCGATCCCCAGCTTTTCTTTTTCCCCTACATCCATCCCCTGACCAGGACTGCTTTCTTCCACCTCTGTCGCATTGCCCGCCTTCATCCATACTTCACAACCCTCCCTCTCCTCCTGGCTCGACGTCAGACTCCACCATTGTGAAGCGCTCCGGGACACGACAGCACGTGAAGGGTTCTATATAAATGCTAGTTGTTGTTTTCAAACAAGTGTCCTTCGATTTCAGTGTCTGCCGGAACAGATAGACAAACTTATCATTTCATCCACCAATGCTTCTCTTCTAACCCCCCTCCCCCAATACTGCACTAGAATGTTAGCCTAAACTGCAATCTTAAAATCCTGATCTGAAGTCTTCTGATCCAGACATGAGACCCAGAGCCAAGCCAAATAGAAACTGACTACAACTCACACAAAGATCAACTTGTTGGTAGTAAACAAACTTAGGAACAACTTGTGACATTTTTTGCTGGTGTGTCAACCAATTTAATTTATGGAAGCAAACCTGCTGGAGGTCAGCCCGGATACATTTGGAGATCTGGTGAGGAGAAACCTGACACTGATCTGCCAGTAAAAAGTACATGGTGAGACCCAGTTGAGCAGTTCGAATGCAGTTTTATATACTCAACCAGCTCTGGCCTAAAGTGATGTAAAGGACAAGGAGAAGGGTGGGGGAGGCTAATGTATACACAGAAATGAATTACAAAGTTGATGTCAATACTGCCTAGGGTCAAGTGCATTCTATTATAATTTTTTTTAGCAAACTTTGGGGCTTCAGTGTACAGAGGACAACAACAAGATTATATTTGTATAGCGCCTTTCACGTCGGGAGGACGTCCCAAAGCGCTGAACAGAGTATAGCATTTCAGACCCGAGCTGGGGTCAGGAGGGGAGGGGAAGGGGGGTGACAGATGGCATGGTCGAAGAGGAGGGTCTTGAGGCGGGACTTGAAGGAGGCTAAGGAGGGGGCGAGACGGAGTGACTGGGGGATGGAATTCCAGAGGTTGGGGTCAGAGTGGCTGAAGCCTCTCCCGCCAATGGTGGGGCGGGTGGGTCGAGGGGCGTGGAGCGGGCCGGAGCCGGCTGAGCGGAGGGAGCGGGTGGGTTGGTAGGGGGTTAGGAGGTCGCAGAGGTAGGGTGGGGCGAAGCCATAGAGGGCTTTGTATGTGAGGACCAGGATCTTGAACTGGATCCTCTGAAGGATAGGGAGCCAATGGAGTCGGGCGAGAGTGGGGGAGAGGACACGGGCTGCAGAGTTAGTTCTGGATTATCTGTAGCCTGTGGAGGGAGGAGTTGGGAAGGCCGACAAGAGGGGCGTTTGCATAGTCGAGCCTAGAGTGATGAAGGCATGAAGAAGAGTTTCAGCGGCCTGAGGGGTGAGGTAGTGGCAGAGTCGGGCGATGTTACGGAGGTGAGGGAAGGCAGAGCGGGTCATGGCTTGAATGTGGGGGAGGAAAGACAGTTGAGGGTCGAACAAGACACCGAGGTTCCTGACTGGCTGGTGAGTTGTAGTATGCAACCATGGAGTACAGAGGTACGTGGAGTTGTAAATGTGGAGCTGGGCAAAGAGCGGGTGAGTGGGACTAGTTAGATGGATCTTCCAAAGATCTGAACATGATGGGCCGAATGGCCTCCTTCTGTGCTGTAATATTTTATGATTCTAATGTACTTGTTTGAGCTGTTATGTATTGCAGTTGACCCCTAAGCTCAAGACTGATGTTTGTATTTGCATTCCAGCGTAATGTTGAGGCAGGCATTCACACTGCACGTAAGCTGCACGGTGTTCTGTTCAGAATGTACAGGTAAACGTTTTCTTTCTTTGACTTTTCTAGAATAATTTCTCCTGTGGGCTCCAGTGTGCTGCACTCACTGAATCGCTACAGTCGTTACATTAGTATCCTAGACTCTGATAATAAGAGCTTGCGCTGCCCGCCTTATCGAGGACTGCTGATCACCAGGATGGCCGACCACAGAACTCAGATAAAGAGGGGCAGCACCTATTACATGCACGTCAACAATCTGCTGACCAGGGTCTGCTCCAAGGCCTTCCTCTACACCTTCTGTCATCACCTGCACCTCCCTATTGATGGGAGAGAGAGCGAGGAATCTGTCGCCTGTCGAAGGTTAAACTTTTTAAAGCACCACTTGGGGTTGATGAATGACGATGGCAAGATTGTACAGTACCTTGCGGAGCTGATAAAGCTGCACTACCTGCACGAGCCCGCAAAGGGCTTGAATCAGGTTCTACGGTTCGCCTACGTCTCCAGCATTGTGTGCAAGATCTAGTGCCGCCACAACCTCTGTGTCTCCCACTGAAAGTGTTTTTTTTGTGTGTGTTTGGGTCACAGAAAAGCATGCTTCTTTTCCCCCTGTATTCTATACTATATTGCTGTAGCAATATCTATCTGAACATCCCATGAATGAGTAAAGGAAGGTGTTCATTGTTACAAATCATTGCTTAACCTTTCAGCAATAGTCTGAAGCATGAATTCATAAGAATTAAGGTTGATTAGAGTGGGTCTTTTGCTAAATACTTTGGTCTTCAACATTTTCTTTAAATGAGGAGACTTTTAACAAAAAAAATGCCCAATTTGAGAAGAATTTGAGCATCTTTTCTGGGAAACCTGGTGCACTTTCCTGATGTGGAAGTGAAACAAGCTGATATTTTCAGTTTCTTTTTCAGGAGACTTTGTTCTGGGGTTCTGGCAAAGCTAGAGAAGGATTGTCTAACAGCAAGCCTGGGGTTGCTGAGCGGCTATGACCAAGTGATTAGATACTGAATTGCCTTTTTTCATACAGTCCTGTGAATTGAAGTGATCTTTTGTCCATCTCCGTTGCCTAACTTGAACCACTTTGCACTTGAAGAGACTATGTGAAGAGGAATCAAATTGCTGGGTGCCAGGTCAGAGGTAGAATAAGTCCAGTATCTACTCTATAAATTGTTCTCAGATGAAGAAAGCTCCCTCTAGAATAGAATTTAGGGTTTTGGGTGGCAGGCAGTAGCTTGGGGTGGGGTGGGGAGTCAGGATACTGTACGGTAAAGCCCATGTTGTCCTTGTCAAGAGTAAGCCACTCTTACTGTGATTAACAAAAAATAATCAAATCACTTGCCTCAGATTAAGGAGGTTCTGTTACTGGAGCAGGGGGAGGAACAATGGGTTGCATACCTCTGTGTTGTGCCGTTTCATGTATCGTGATACATGTCTCTGTTTTATCTGTAAAGCATCGAAAAAGTCCTTCTCTAATTGTTTACACTGCCTGGTCTTGTAGTTTGCATGCTACCAGTGTAGGTACAATTCTAATACTGGACGAATTGTGCCTACACCAGGACAAGTCCACTTTACATGGTATCCATTTGATCACGAATAACTCAAATGCATTCCAGGTTAATGGGGGAACGGATGTCTACACTCCTCGAGATGGGGGGGAAGGGAGGGAAACTATTTTAGCATTCATCGCGGCTTCCTGTCCATGCTTGAACTGGATTTGGTCCAAGTCATTGGTGTGGTATAACTGTCATTGTCATGTAACCAAGATTTCCCAAATCTCAATCGGAAGTGAAACTGGGATCTTGATTTTCAGATAATGCTTCTTGTTTGAAAGACTTGCAATTTCTCAAAAGCTGCTTTTAAACTTAAGAGTGACAATCTTAACTTATTGTAACATAGTGGGAAGAGGGGGTAAGAGGGGTAGGAGGGATTTAGGTAAATTGGATACTTCTACACGTGAAAGCCAAATGAACAGGTGAATTATCAGCAACTGTATGTACAGGATAGTATGTACAGGTGATGTGACATAATATAATACTTCGGCCCATTGAATTGGGGGGAGGGTGTATATCACTGACTCACTTGTGCCTTTTGTTTTAAAAAAAAAATCCATGCATCTCATTTGTTTGATATTCTGCAATTCATAGTGTACTGTTTAAAATGGACTAATGTCGAGAAATGGTGGGTGAGTGGAGGGGTGGGCAGGGGAGAAGGAGAAAAACCTTAATGACCTTAAAAAAAACACTGCACCTCTTCCCACAAGTCGTCTCTGTGCCTGGTTTGATAAACCCGTTTGTAGTAGTACTGCAATATATTTTTTAACCCTTGCCAAATCCCGTGAGAGTAACCAACACTTCTGTACTTAATATTGTTTGTTAATAAATGTGTTTCTTTTTCGGAAATACGAGGGTTTACCAAATTGACTTTTTTTTGGAGGGTGGGGGGAGGAAGAGGTGACAGAATTGTCACTGAACGATCCTGAACGAAACCCAGTAACAGTGTAACCTCCATCCTTGATGTGAAGGAACCGATCATTCGTTTCTACGTGGGGTTCTAAAGTACCCATTCAGCGTATTGACCAGAACCGCTGACTTCTGTAACCAGTTTAAGCATGTACCTGGCCGCTTGTATTCAGTCTTCTGGAACCAGTCCACTTGTGTATTGGGGTATTGTGTTCCCTTCCTGTCACCTTGTTGCAACAGCAGCAACAGAGTGACTGGACAATGTCATCTGAAGTTGGTCATTGCGTGTTCACTGTGTGTACTTACAAGCCACCCAATAGCTGTTTAGCTGGGAGTTTATGCTTCATTTTGCTGTGCGCAATTGGCTGCTGTGTTTTGCCCACAAAATATACAGTCAAATCACTTTACCACATATCCTGTGAAGCGCTTTGAGACGTCTCAAAGACGTGATAAGGCACTATATCAAATGCAAGGATTATTATTATTGGGTCCGAGTAGCGAGTTGTCTTATTTTTGGATAAGAATAACCAAAATATCTAGTTGGCACAGACTGTGAGTTACTGTGACTTCATTCATAAAATGAATTTGTAATTATTTCTGATAGCATGTTTTTAAAACTGGAACAGTTTCCTGTGAGAACCTTTTAATTTGTTCAAAAGTACTGTGAATGTAATTGTGTATGCTGAATGTTTTCCCCTCCCCATTTCAGAATAGCTGAGTATACCTATTTCTCCTTTACCCAATACACGTCAAGAAGACGTGAAAAGTGCTATATCAAATGCAAGGATTATTTATTATTATTACACCAAATCAGCAGTCCTGTAAGGCTTTTGATGGATAGAACCAAAGGTATAACTGGAACTTGATTTCATTTACAAACAGCAGGTTTGTACATTGGTTATAGGACGTTTTACTAACTGTCTTGGGCAGTGTTGCAGAGCTCCTTGAGCTCGCTCACTAAGTCTGCTGGACCTTTATGGCAAATTTGGAGAGTAGAGGGCCAGACACTCGAGTCTATGGAATGTGATGCCCACATTTCACCTGAATTGATCTCACCTCAAGTTACTTCACTTCACTCAAAATCTACCGTGCAAGGAAGTGACCCAACACCAATCTGACTTGGAGTTACTTTGCTTTTCAAGTTCATGGAAGTGTTTGGCAGTTTCCACCTGTTTAGTAGGCATTTCCCATGGGTGTCCGCATGCCATTTGCGTACAGTAGTAGCTGCATGCAGGAAACATGGTGTTTCATTCGTGACACTGTGAACGTGTCTTGAATTTTACTTCACAGTGTGTCAGTACATGTAACTGGTTAAAGGTAGCTGAGGTCCCCTTGCATATAAGCGGCTGTATGAAGTGGGTCATTGGCGTGCATGTAGTACTGTATAACCTCCTACCATGGTTTACTTTTCAGGGATAGAATTTAAATGATCTGGTGATTTTGAGGTATTTTGTTTGAGAATTTTTTCATACATCCAACTGACGAGAATTATCAATGTCTGAAGAAACAGCATTGTATCTACTTAACTGTCCCCAAAACATGTTTGCTTGCTTATCTTTCTAGCCATTTAAAAGAAATATATAGTTATTATAAGATGGATTGTTCTGTAATTATTAGTGCTACAATTGATGAAACTGTATTGGAATTTTGCAGCACACTTCCCAGTTGAAATGGCTGCTATAAATTTTTTTGGTTAACTTTTGCCATCTCTTACCAGTCCGACATCTATGCTCTATTGTACTGACTCACTTGGCCTAATGGCGCAGTGGTGAAAAGTAGAGCAACACTAAAGCATAGTGCCAAGAGGGTCACTGGGGCTGTGCTGTGTTATCTGACCTCAGTTAGAGCTCTCTGCAGTTGATCTCAGAACTGAGGGAGATAAACTGGTTCCATGGCTCCCACAGTGACCTGATCAGACCTATGATCCAACCTAAGAGTGTGCGGTCCTGTTGGATGCCACTAAATGCCATTTAAAAACACTTACCTTGGGTTCACTCTGTAAACTGTATCCTCACTTTAATCTCTCCTTCAGACTTCTTGATGGCACCGTTCCTGACATGTCAGAAAGAAGGACAGCAAATAACTATTTGCCATTCATGTTTCGAGGGAGTGCAACTAACCCTCTTAATTTAGATTATTAGGCACAGTTTGAGCTGCAAGCGTAAAGTACAATTTCAATCGTGTAAATTTATCCCCTTTATAAATCAAAGCACATGCCAGACTGGAACGTCTGCGATAATCTGCAGACAGGATTTGTTTGCGGGACTAGTGGGTTCTTAATGTATTGTGATAATGTTCATCTGACTGGACACGTTACCATAATGTTTAAAATTATTCCCCCGTTACTGGAATTGCTCTGAATTTTTATTTTTTAAGTTTTTTTTAAAAAGTGCACTTTCTTGCTATTTTAATATTGCACAAAACCTGAATTATTTTAAAAATGCTCAATGTTGTCTTGTGTAAAAAAACATTGGTGTATACGTTGTTTTGAAAATGTACAGTCCTTTGTTGTCTTGGAAATGTCGTGCCTTCCACTGGCCATTGTTCAAACATTGTAGACTTTAATAAACCATTTTGCAACTCACACGTCTTGTAATTTCCATTTCTTGTGAAAAAAAAGTCCTTTCTCATTCTGGCTTATTCCGAACTCAAAGTTTCCTTCTAGTGTCACTCTAACACCCAGTTGGAAGTTGGGAAGAAAGTTCTGGGGAAATATACAGCTATATTTCAGGAAAAAAAACTAAAACGAGCCACATTTGCCTACGAGTACAGTCACTACACTTTCCTGTAAATTGTACGAAGCTCCCTGAGACGTCTCAATGACCTGATAAGGTGCTGCAAGGATTATTAAAAGGTAGGAGAGTTTCTGTCATTTGCATTTTTTTTTCCGGCTCAATTTTCTACCCATCAAGATATTATTTTTTTTATTTTTTTTAAAAAAAGATGAGTTGATGGATACACAATTGTGTGCACCGCCTTTACATAAAATGATCCAGCAACCTTACAGGATCCTACAGTCTCCATCTACAGTACAATACAGTGCAGTGATGTGCAATGATGTCCTTGCCCCTGATTGTCGAGGGGGAGGGGGGAGAAAGTGTGAGCGGTGCAGTTCGGGAATTGTAGTCACGTAGTAACGTTCAGTTGGGGTTCGAAGCCCGGCCAGCGCCGTGAGCGAACTACATCTCCCAGCATGCCGCCTGCGCCCAGCTCGGGGCAGCGGGCGATGCTGTTCACACACGACTCTGCGCATGCTCGGGTTGCCGGGGGGCCTGACGGGAGATGGAGTTCACACACGGCTCGGCGCATGTTCGGGGTGATTGAGAACACTGCGCATGCTCCGAATCGGTGGCCCGGCGTGATCGAGAGCACTGCGCATGTTCAGGGTAGCGGGCGGCCTGACGGGAGATGTAGTTCGCTGTGGGCTCGGCGCATGCTCAGGAGGGGCGGGTTTGAAAAAAAAAGTCCCCTTTCCCTGGATCCTCGTCAAGATGGCGGCGTGGGGCAGGAGGCGCGGCGTCCAGGGGATGAGGGAAAGGTCAGTGGCTTCACTTCGACTCCTGGGTTTTTTTCTCTCTCTCTCCCCCCCCGACCCCAACCCCAACCTCCTGCCCCCACCTCACGCCTTAAAATCCTCGTGTCATCTTAAAAGAGAGACGTCCGTTGGAGGAAGTTTGTGAAGGGAATGTTCGGTTGTGACGGTGGGCGCGCGGGGCTGAGAGTTAGTTCGCTGAGGCTCCGGTTCCTTCAGCGGCCTACACCCGGGGAGAGGGGGGGGGGGGAGAGGGGGAGAGGGGGTGACCACAAGCCTTTCAGCCTCTCGCTATCCCGGGGCTTTTGTGCTTAAAATACCCGGGTTTCATATTCCTAATATCTTGGCCTTTCGTCAAAGTGCTTTCCAGCCTCTCTCCCCCTCCCTCCCTCCCTCCCTCCCTCGCTCTATCTCTCCATCTCTCTCTCTATCTCTCCTTTCCATCTCTCTCTCACTCCCTTTTTTTCTGCTCTGGTCAAATCTGCTCTTATTATAGTCACAAGTTATTCGAGGGGGCGAGAGAGGGCTAATTGAACACTAAATCTATTTTTTTCTTCTCCTCCCCCTCCCTTTTATCCCCCTCCCTCCATCCCCTCCCCCTCCCTCTTATCCCCCTCTCTTCTCCCCCTCCCTTTTATTCCCCCCCTTCTCTCCCTCCCTCCCCCTACTCTCCCTCCCTCCCCCTTCTCTCCCTCCCTCCCTTCCCCCTCCATCCCTTCTTTCTTCTTAAAAAATAAACTCCACTTTGGCTCTCTAGACAGTTGTTGGGCTCTCTCCCCCCCACCCCCCACCCCCCAAGTTTGGCTGAATGAGTGTGACGTGCTTTTGCGCTGTAGCTGCTACGTGAGGTTCTGGGAGATGTCTTCTGTTTTAAAGCCCCCCCCGTGTCCTTGTGGGTCAAACGGGAAAAGTCTGCAATTGCTATCAAGGAGACGGAAACATAGCTTGACTCATTGCACCACATACCCCCATCCAACTGGAGGATAATTAATTGGCAAGTGTGCAAAAAAACAGTTTATATATCACTGGTGAGAACATCGAGTGAATTGTGTGGACACTCCTGCTCACGTGCGAGATATAAATATCTAGTGCACACTTGGCCACTACATGTACCATTCGGTCATAAACAATTAAATAGTGACCTGCAAATTGAAAAGGGAGTTAAAATAGGGAGTTTCAGCAGCAGAATCCTTTTTAAAGTCTACAATTACACCATTGCTTAATGCATTCCTGTGAATGTTATTTCAACTGCACGTTGGGACTGATGACATTGAGGATGCTGCCTTTGCAAGCAAATGAACTAGAAGAACCTTTGTATAAATTGTCTATTAATAATAGTTCAGTTCTCTTGAGCGATAATTTGTTGAAGCCAATTACCCAAATGTGTTTAAACCAAACCATTATTTGATTTTGATGGTGAGACATAAGATTTTTGTTTTTGATGTGCAAAACTCTTAGCATTGTCATTTCTGAGTTGCAATCATTGTTACCGCTATCTCCAGCAAGGACGGTGGAAACATTAGAGTTTGATATGGATTCAGCACTTATAATAGTACATAACATGACATTTCCTGTCATTTCATTAAGTTGGTTGGCTCCTGTCATGATTCTTGGAATTAGTTCTAAACTTCAGCCTCTGACTGAAAAATTAAAGTTCACATTTAGATTATTGAGAGCACAGTGTCAATGCATTAATTGGCTTAAACGGTTTTCTACATACCCCGGGTTGCCATGCTAGTCAGTTATGCTTATTACAAACGGGCCCGATAGTTACTATCGTTTAAAATGTCTGATATCCTTAATATTCATGAACTCATTGTTGAGGGGGTTTGAAGGAATGGCTTGTTTTGACATATAAAAATCTACAGAATCCATTAAATGGTTAATCTATTGTGATAACAAATGTCAAGGACATGTGTGTATAACAGGATTATTAACCATAGCGCTGATTATTTTGGTTTTAACTTGTGCCAAAAGGTCCCTGACATGGAAAGAAATGTCCAATATACAAACTCCCTTTTCTGTTCTTGATGAAGCACCCAAAATATTACGTTTTAGGGTGGATTTGGATATTTTTTCATTCTACTGTTGTCCAACTGATTTCACATATCATTGAAATGATATTCAATGAAATGATGATATTGCATGCATTGAGATTGTTGTGATATTCTTCAAACTTCAGCATAATACCAAATAAATAAAAACACATAAAAATTCCAAAGGTGACGTGTTTGAACTGAAATCATATTTTCTACATACTTAAATAGGAAAAATATTCTTGAAACTAAAACCAGCTAGTGGCAATGTTACAGTGCAAAAAATGCAGAAAGCAAATGACAGTTGAAGCTGTAGCAAACAAAAAAAAGTGAATAATTTGGTAACTAATTTTTGCACACTTTTAAACGTCACATAATTGTACGAGATCAAATCCAAACAGATTGAGATGTGTGATGAAAACATTATATATGAGGGATTGAGGTAAATAATTCATAATTTTTCAAACTGATCTACTGTGATAACTTTCAAGGATATGTCTGCATAACAGGATAATTGACCCCAGTGTTGTCTAATTGCAGAGAGAGATAGGATACGTATTTGTTTGAGTGCACCCAGGACATTGCGTGTCTCTGCGTGCTCGTGGCAATAACAAAGGCTGGGAAACAGGTAATCTGTCAACAGGAAGTTTGTAGTTGTTTTCTTTACATTCTTATAACTTAAAAAAAAAGTTTCCAGTAACTTGCTTGTTCTGGTGAGTGCTGTTGATTTGAACAAAGATACTTTATGGCATCTTCAGTTTCGATTTGGGGTTGGTCTGTGTGCTGCTGAATGATTAAGTTGCTTGACGTGCAGTAACACATTGTGTCTATACTTGATTAATTTCACGGCTTTGAGTTTTGAAAAAGATGAAGGGTGAAACATTTTGGTAAGGAGTTCCAGAGCGCAGTGGCTGAATAGTGTGCATCATCGAGGGAGCAAACTCACCATAAGAATTACACATCTATTCAACATGAAAAAGATATTCTGTGATGTCTATCAGGGTACAGCAGAGTGTCTTGCAGAGTGTAAATTATACTAATTGAAAACAAAACCATATATGGGGTTGGACAGTTTGGGCCGGGAGACAGGAGCATAGAAGCTACTGTAAAGCAATCCAGTGTTTAATCACTTAATACTAAAAGGAAAAGTTCTGCAAACCGTTAAATGCTTAGTACAGGATATGCAGAATTATTTCAGCAGATTAACGAATGTTTCTTAGTATCTACGTATCACATGGCCAGTGTTTGTAGTTTTACTTTCGAAAGACCTGTAGTGTGGAACAAAAATACGTTGCCTTAAGAAGAGAATCTGCCCCACATTGTAGAGCAGCCAGGCATCTGTTGGTTTTGAAGTAGTCTCATGCTTTTGACTCTTAAGTTAATCAGAAATCTTTCCAGGCTGTTACTTTGCTTGTAATTTAGAAGCCGAATGCCATTTCAGTAACTTTCCATTAAATGCATCAGCCTCCGGGTTATCCAATCAGTATGTATAATTGTATTAGGCATCCATATGCCTTGCAGAAAATTTCCAGCTGAAATTTGCTCACTTGTGTTACAAAGTTCAAGGGTTGTACTTAGATGACTGTGTGCCAAATCAGCTTTGTGTAAAAGATGGTCCAAGTAAACAAGAGCTATTTTGGTTAAATAGTATAGTAGTCTGGTGTTGTCGCAATAAAACATGGTATTCTGTGTGCTATAAAAATGCAAGTTATTGTAAAACCCGGTGGCTACTCATAGAGCTGAGTGCTCAGAATTGGTTGACATTTGGCCTTAATATGTACACCATGTTTCTGATTATTGCTTTTAAGTACATTTTCACATCTTTTCCAAAAGCCAGAAAGTCTACAGGAAATCTACTGAGAAGAACTCTTTGCTAAATATGCCTTTGCTATGTATTGTTCTGATCTCGGCTGCTTGTTGTAACGAGGTCCTGATTTTATTTATCTATTATGGGGGGGGAAAAAAATCATAGTCACAGTTTCACTGTTCTGTACATGATCTGGAACTTTCAATCTGTGAATAGCACCTTTTTTTGGGCCAGCTAGTGACATGTGGAAACCCATCACCGTGCTTACCGGCTGCACTATCAGCGTAGTTCACTTGCAAAACACAGTCACTACACTGTCCTTTACAGTACATGCTATCCTTGAGACAACTCAACAATGTGATATGGCAGTATATATCCAATGAAAGGATGATTAATATAATCTGATACTTTTCATGGTTTCTCCACAAGTAACTGGGTGGTTGGGTTTGTGCTGAGTTCACTTGCTTGAGAGGGGAAAACAGTGTGGATGTCCTTTAATCCAATAAGAGGAAATTGAAGTATTAAGGGACATCGCTGCTCTCTATTCTTTGTTGGCTGTTGGGTGTGGGAGAAATTCTCTGTGAAGATATTCTTACATTATCTAGGAGAATATTTTGCTTCTCCATTTCTTCCTGACTTAAATCTCCATTTTGTATGTGTCTTTTTCCTTTTTAGGGGAACCCTGACCTCCACAGATTGCTACATAGTCCGTGAAATCTACAATGGGGAAAATGCACAGGAGCAATTTGAGTATGAGCTGGAACAAGCCCTGGAGGCACAGTACAAATATATTGTGGTTGAGCCAACCCGGATTGGAGATGAAACAGCGCGCTGGATAGCAGTTGGAAATTGCCTGCATAAAACCTCCGTTCTCGCAGGATCCGCCTGTCTGTTAACCCCATTGTCACTGCCCCTGGAATACTCCCGTTATGTTATACTACCAGCCGGGGCCATCAGCGTGGCGTGCGCGGCTCTCTATGGCATCTCTTGGCAATTCGACCCTTGCTGCAAGTACCAAGTGGAGTACGACACGTGCAAACTCTCCCGGTTACCCCTGAACACGCTCACCTCATCCACACCCGTGGTTCTCGTCAGGAAAGATGACATACACAGGAAAAGACTCCACAATACGATAGCATTGGCAGCCCTGGTGTACTGCGTTAAGAAAATCTGTGAGATCTATGTAGTATGATTGAAATTCAAAAAAAAAGACGGAGTTGTATCCACTCTATAGTGCTATTACTTATGACAAAATTGTGGTCAGGTTGAGACTGCAGGAACAAGGTTTATAATAGGTTTTCAAAAGTACCTTCTTGTCTACTGAGGTTTTCAATCCACACACTAGATCTTGTCAATCCCAATGATCCTAACTCTCTGTAAAAGACCACAATACAAATGACGTTTATGTAAGAGGTTTGTAACCTGCAGATCTGCTGAGGTGATTCAAGCGCTGAGAGAGTGCAAATGTTCCTCAACACCCTGAAGTACTTCAATGTGTCTGTGCTGCATTTTTATAAAGGTATTATCTGGCTTACAAAGAATATTTTGAGCTAGAAGATTTCTAAATGTGTTTTATACATTCAAAATTTAATGCAGTAATTTGAAATTGCAATACTGGCTGTTGGCAACTCTCACACCAACTTCAATTGTTGTGATTTTTAAATGAATGTAAAAATATATTATCTACCTAATAAATTACTCCCTGGTCATCAACAGCAAGAGCCAATGCAATCCATTTGATCCAATTTTCCATTATTGCTTCCAACAGTGAAAACTGTAGTGAAATTATGTAATAGGTTTTGAATTGTTAGAACAAAACTGGAGCAAAATTCCTTTATAAACCAGATATTCCCTTTTTAGCATGTTTGCTCTAATGTGCATTAATTCCATGCAACTTGGGTATATGTAATGCTTTTCAACTGTAAATTATTGTCAGGGTTGTGGCAGCTTAATGGGCCATAATGGGTTGATTGAGAAGGAAAGGTGGAGCACTGCTCCTCTGTTAGTTTATAATTGTGTCACACCCGGGTGAACCTACGAAGCCACGTTCCATTTTTAATAGTCTCTTAGCCTTCTCACTAACAAAAAATCTCTTGCTATCACTCTCTCGCTTCTCCTTCCTTCCCCCCCCTCCCGGCTTTTAGTTCATAACTGTGCATGAACCTGGAAATGTATTGAAGGAAGAATCTGATGTAAGTATTAAATCAGTGTCTTCATTGAGTTGAAACCTTTGGCTAACCGTACAGAACTTTCCACCCTTATTGCATTGTTATATTGCATCCCTGTATATTGTCTGGTTCTGGTTTCCATGCACCACAAGCTGCCACTGGTAACATACATATCCTTTGTTATTGGTAATAAAAGGGACCATTTGGGGAGAAGTCACCATTTCATTAGATCCATAATCGGTGACAATTTTCCAACCTGAAACAATAGGTCAGTATTTACCACACACTAAATATTTTTGATTCCTCATAGTAATGGGTGTGGGAAAGTGTGAGTCGATGCAAGGGTATAATATGAAGGATCTAACGTGGAATTGCATTCGCTAGGGCTCCAGATTGTGAGATCAGATTGTGCAGATGCTGTAGTATTACAGTGCAAAGTTACATACAGTATACTGTATTTTCCTTGGCTTGCATTGTGGAAGTGCTATTTATGTACTGCGGTGATAAAATGTATGTGCCCAATTGGCAGACTTGAGCATTCACTGACAATCGCACACTTCAAGTCGTGACAGATTGTTGTGCACGATATATCAAATTTATATTTTAAGAAATATAATTTTTTGGGAAACTTTGACCGTGTATCCTGGACATTCTTCAGACAATCCAATAAAGAATGTGGTGAAATGGTGTTGGAGAACCTCTGGGACGTTACAGTAGCCTGGTTGACATTCATCTCAAGTTTCTCAATGGTAATGAGATGCTTTGTGCTTAACGTGGAGCCTGTGAGAAACACTGTAACCCAAGCTATTTATATATCCAACTGGCTGACACTAATATTTATGGTATATCCCTGACAAGGATTTATCTCGTGTACTGGTATAAAGGAATTTCTACTGGAAACCAGCAGATCACACTGCAGATTTTTTTCTTGCTTAATTTGTGTTTGCCCTACACAACAAATTAAAAAGTTTCTCTAAATCATTTGTCAAGCATAATTTGTGATGTGAGTGACAGATAGTTACAACATTTTTTTAAAAAACACGAGGCGATAAAAAACTATATAGAAACAAAGAAACAGCCTCTCGAGCCTGTTCCGCTGTTCTATAAGATCATGGCTGATCTGTACCTCAACTCCATTTTACCAGTCCTTGCCCCATATCCCTTGATACCCTGACCTAACAAATACCTATCCACCTATAAGTCTTGAAAATGTTGATGGATTCAACATCCACAGCCTTTTGGGGAGAGAGTTTCAGATTCCCACAACCCTTTGGGTGAAAAACTGGCTTCTAATTTCAAGCCAAGCTCTAATTTTAAGATGATGCCCCCTTGGTGGGTGGGTGTGAAGGGCATTATTCCACTGAATTTTCACATAATGTGTAACATAGGGAACTGTTTATAAGTGCAGTCCTGTAGCGTATTGGTTAGAGCACTCACCTCACAAGCGAGAGGACCTGGGTTTGATTCCTGGGCAGGGCGAAACATTAGGCTAGTTTTTTTACTTGACGCGTCTCTGTTCAAAGAGTAGTAGGTAGGACCCCGGTTGTTTAACAAAAAACAAATTTAAAAAAACAAATTAATTTTAAAAAATATTAATTTGGATATGCAATCCATGACTGACTGTGGGACACTGCTGTGCACCATTGGCTCCTGCGATTCGCCCACAAATATATACAGTCGTTTCAATTAACAGTAAATTCTGTGAAGCTCTTTGAGGCATCTCGAAGACGTGATGAGACGCTATATGAAATGCAAGGACTATTACTATAAACGGCCATTCACTTTGCAGGGTTCTACCCAGTAAAGCATCCAGTGCAACCTCAGAACAGAGCTTTCATGCGGAGCTCCACACCAGCGACTGACTTGAGGAAGGTGGATTTTGAAGCACAGGCCGTTTTACCATGTAATCAAAGTAGCAGAGAGTGGCTGATCTGCTTACAAGTACATATGTGAGCTTCAGTAGACTGAGATGCCTTCTCGTTCTAACTTGTGTTGATCCCTGATCTATGCTGAAGGTCATTTCAATAAGCTGAGGGTTTTTTATATAAGGCGAGTGAGGGGAGAAACTATTTTGACTGGTCAGTGAGCCGATAACAAGCCATAAATTTAAGATCCATTACAAAGAAACGTGTGGAGGTTAGAATTTGTTATACACATGGACACATGGCCTTATTGGAGCATGGAATGTATGACCAAATATATTGCTACGGGAGAATCCATAAAACTCTAAAAATGGAATTTGACAACGAGGTGAAGGGTGCGGGGGTGAGGGATTAAATAGTTCAGAGAGCCAGCGTGGGCTGAATGGCCTCCTTCTGTTGCTGATAAAGGTCCTAGGAGCTGACTCCTGCTGGGGGTTCAGTTGCCTTGGAGCAATCATTGTTCACCCTCCAGATCCATCCTTCCTGTGTGAACCTCAGAGCAGACCAGCAACAAGCCACTCATCACACAGGAGGCGAAATATTCCTTTCGTGTCTCATTTCACCACAGGACCGCTCACACAACGAACTAACTCACAAACCTGCTGTTATAACAACAACAAATCACATTGCACTTATATAGCGCCCTCCATGTAGGATAGCGTCCCAGAGCACTTAACAGTGGCGGAGGCTGACTCTGAGCTGGGGGGAGGGGGGAGGTGACCGTAACTACAGTCGAAAAGTGTTCAGACGGGACTTCAAAGAGGGGAGAGAGGGAGCAAGGCGGGGGGATTGAGGGAGAGTGTTCCAGTTTGGGGATGTAGTGGCTGAAAGCAGGAACTCCGATGGTGGGGCAGAGGGTGCGAGGGACGAGCAGGAGGCCGGTGCCAGTCGAGCGGAGGCGCCAGCTGGTGGATTGGGGGAATGAGGAGGTCGGAGAGGTAGGGCGGTGCCAGGGAGCGAAGGGATTTGAACACGGGTGTGAGGATCTTGAAGTCGATCTGTTTGGTGATGGGGAGACAGTGGAGCCTGGGCCAGGACTGGTGAGATGTGGGTACATCCTAAGGCGATGGCCCGGTGAGCCCCTAAGATCTAAAGCGGGAGCCTGAGTTTGCCATTTGCAGGATGTTAGTGGTTCCAAACTAAGTCAGAGAAAAAAACAATTCAAGGCATTTCAGAAACCAAGTAGGACGTGGTAAGTTTTGCTTTGCTCATCTGCTTATTTCAGTTTTGAAGGTCGAGTAGATCTATCCTTACCTGGTTAGGTAAGAGTAAAACATTATGTAATAATAAAAACATTATGTAATAATAAAACATTATGTAAGTTCTTCCAACATCTCAGTGTTCACAGTTTGCTTCAATAGACTGAGCATCAATACTGTAGTTTGTGATTTCCACTCTATGTAGGTGTGTCATTGAACTGACAGGTGATGAGTATCTTGGGCTCCCAGTCGGTTAAACTACTGCAACTCTCTTGCGATCTTGCAATAAATTGGTTACTTCAATCCATGACTGTTTGTGGGGACGCTGCTGTGCACAATTGGCTGCCCCGTTTTGCCCACAAAATATACAGTCAATTCACTTTACAGTATTTTCTGTGAAGCGCTTTGAGACGTCTCGAAGCTGCTTTATCAAATGCAAGTATTATTAATTATTATTGAGACCTTCCATTTTTTCATTGGAAGTCACAATCCTTCCTTTCTGCCTCATTTCCCACTACACTACCACCACTAAGCTAAACACAATTATAATTTAATTTTGATAAAAAGTAATATTGCTTTCTCTTTTCACACCAGTCCCTGTTCTCACCCCCAGCTCAGGTGCCCAGACAGTATTGTTAAGCTTTGAGACATCCTCCTGAAGTGAGAGGCACTATATAAATGTAAGTTTGTATTGGCATTTTATATAATTCTCCTTCTTCAGCTGGTGTGGAATTCCACTCCAGTACCTCACCCATATGGCTCACTGTTTCAGAGTGTGGTGGTGTTTCTGACCTGAGCCCAATCTTGTCTGAATACAGGCTGACACACACACACCATTTACCTCTGTATTCCCTTCCAAGTATTAATTGTCCTTTATTCATGCAGTTTAAACCTTTGACAGAAATCAAAGCCTTTGTGTATCAGTTTTAATTTATTTAACACAGACACAATTATACCGACTGACTCCAGTATATGTTGTAAAAATACTGTAAACAATCCCATGGACACAATTTAAACAGATTCACATTTGACTCGGTGCTTTGTTTAAATATAGGAATCCTTCGTGGAAGTGGTATGAAATCCAATTTGCTTTGATCGATTTTTACACTGAAAAACCGACACGATTTGGGTTGTTTCAGTTCGCATCACATCCCACCGAAATACTCCCAAGACTGTCAGGAAAACTAGCACAGTAACAACTGTCCAAGTCTGAACAGTCGTTGTCTTAGACCCAATCAAAGACATGTTATTTCTGTTGGGCTCCCAGCAGTTGCACACTGAGAGGCCTTCGCAGTTCTGTGTTTGTGCTTGTTCCCAGGACGGGTTAATTCTTCTTCACTTTGCGTTCTTTCCTAGCTCTGGCCGCCATGATGGGAAAGAATGCGCACGGGAGTAGTGTCCGCAAGTAAACGGCGAGCGTGGGCATCATCCCCGCCAACACCACGTCTTTCTTCTTCCTGCTAACGGCGGTCAGAATGGCTTTGGCCACATCCTGAGGATCCCAGCCTTCCGCTGTGTTCTTATCCATCACTGAGGGGCAAAGAGAACAGACAAAAACAACTCACCTACGTTGGTTCAAGTCACGCACTTTCCGAAATCCTGCGTCCTCGAGACAATCAGCAACAACAAATGACATTTACACGGCGCTTTTCACATCGCGAGGACGTCCCAAGGCGCTGGACGGTGAGGGATTTGGACCCGAGCTGGGGGTCGGGATCAGGAGGAGTGCACGGCAGGGAGGGTAGAGGTAGGAGGGTGATCGAAGGTGTTATATTCCAGACTTTGCCCCTTTACGAGTTGTGAGTTACTTAACCAATGTGGGTGTTTTTGTCTCTCTCTCTCTTCGTCTAACTCTTGGTGGTTGGAGTTTGAGTTTGATTCTCCTCTCTGCATTCTTTTGCGTTATTCACCACGTCTGACGCAGAGCGATGAGAAACCACTGCCTCATTTTCCTTCCTCCCTCCCTCCCAAATTCCGAGGTCGACTGCAGTAATCCCACTGCCTCCCTCCCCCACCCCCCGCCCGCCCACTCCCCCTCCCCTGCCAAGATCAGATAATGATAATAATAATCCTCGCATTTGAGGTAGCGCCTCATCGTGTCATTGAGACGTCGCACAGGACAGACAGTAAAGTAAAGTAAATTGACGTGTGTATTTTGTGGGTGAAACGATACTCCCGCCCGTCATAGTCAGCGCAACCCAGCGATCGGCTGGCTCAACCCGACAAGACATCAAAGGATAATACTTATCAAGCTCTAACAGCACAGAGTGCCCGATACTGCATTACTCGGTGACTGGAGTGCAGTTCTTCACTGCGTACAGCAGAGCTCAGGCTAAACACACACCCCCGTACTTGGAGCCGTCCCCAGTGACTGCGTTGACCGACAGGTTGGTGCGGATGTATCCGGGACTGATTACCGTAACCAAAATTCCAAACTGCTCCACCTCCGCGCGCAGGCAGTCGAAGAAGGCTTGAGTGGCGTGTTTGGAAGCGCCGTCTGAAACAAGGACGGACGCACAGGGTTTAAAAAGAAAACAAAAAATGCCCTTGATTCAACAACCACCACAAGGACTCGCATTTACACAGCGCCCTCTCACGCAGGGTAGGGTCCCGGAGTGCTGAGTTTCGCTCCCGTGATTTAATTGAGATGCCGATTGGGAAAGCAAGCGCCCGGAAGAAAATCTAATGTATATTTTTCCACTCGACGCTGTTTGGGCCAAAGCTTTTGCACCTCAGCAGCGACCGCGCTGATTGGTATCGTAACTGCGAACAGGTTTGCGAGGCTGTACGGGACATGACCCAGCTATACAGATGTTTCCGTTGTGTTAATAAGGGAACGAAGGCTGGTCAGAACTTACACGCGGATCGAAATGGAATTGCTATTTTCCCTTGGATGCTGCTAATGGTGACAATGTGCCCACTTTTTCGCTGCACCATGGAAGGCAAGATGGCTGCAATACAATACAAAGCAATACGATTTACATCTGCACCAGCGCCTTTCACATCGGGAGGTCTTAAAAAGCGCTCGACACTGCCGGCTGGGGCACAAGAGCTGGGGGGGGGAGGGGGGTTGGTGGGGGGGGGGGAAGGAGCGGAGGAGGAGAAAGATGACCGAAAGCGCGGTTAACAGTAAGTGATTCAAGAAAGTAAAGCTCGAAAAGCTTCCTAACCTGACTGCCTATTGTTGAACATCACTCAGTGTGTTCCAGCGACTACATCACAAGAAAGACCATGGGTTCAAACCCTGTGCCAGGAACTTGATCTCACAGGGTCAGCTGGTCGGACACTGAGCAAGGAAGGGACGGGGGAGGAGGTGGCCATAGGCGCGTTCTAAGAGGCCAGATTTAAAGACAAAGAGAAACAGCGGCAGAAGGAAATAAAATACCTTTCGTTAAAGCAATTGGCCCAAAGTAGTTGATATTCATCACGTCTCTATCCACACTGACATCAGTGTCCAGGATAGTCCCTCGATGGCTGATACCAGCGTTGTTTATCAGGATGTCCACCTGCCCGAAACAACCGACAATCTCCTCCGCCCTGTCAGCCATCGCGTCCACATCTCGCAGGTCAAATGTCACCACGTTTGGTGTGTGGGTCTGTAGGCACAGCCCGAAATACAAGGGTATCGGGTCAATCACGCACAACTCTGTGAAAAATGCTGTGCTCTGCCTACACACACACACACGCACACAGGGGGGTGGCATGAAGCGCTTTGTGAGACATCTCAATAAGGCTCTGTATCAAATGCAAGGGTTATTGTTATTATTTGCTCCTGGTGATTGCCCTAATTTCCTCATTGCTCAGCAAGGCACTGGCGACTGCAGCAGACTGTACGATTACTCACATCCCAGGTTCTGATACACATTACGATTGTGGACCAAAACCCTTGCCTTAAGCAATCACGGAGCCAATATGGAAACTCGGCGTCCTGTTTGACCCTCAACTGTGCTACACACCCCCCCACATCCGTGCCATGACCCGCTCTGCCTTCCCCCACCTTGGCAACATCGTCCGGCTCCGCCACTATCTCACGCCGCAGGCTGCTGAAACCCTTACATGCATTCATAACATCCAGGCTTGACCATGCAAACTCCCTGCTTGACGGCCTCCCCAACTCCTCCCTCCGCAGGCTGCAGATCATCCAGAACTCTGCAGCCCGTGTCCTTTCACGCACCCTATCACCCCCATCTTCGCCCAACTCCACCGGCTTCCCATCACACAGAGGATACAGTTCAAGATCCTGGTCCTCACCTTCAAAGCCCTCCATGGTCTTGCTCCCCACTACCTCTGCGACCTCCTAACACCCTACCATTCTGCTTGCACCCTCCGCTCAGCGGGCTCTGGCCTGCTTCACGTTCCCCGCCTCCCAGCCCCACCATTGGCCACTCTGCCCCCATCCTCTGGAACTCCATCCTGCAGTCCCTCCGTCTCGCCCCCTCCCTTTGCCTCCTTCAAGACCCATCTTGAGACTCTCCTCTTCGACTGTGCTTTCGCTCAACCTCCTTCCCCACCCCCTGCCCTCCACCCTCCCCGATTCCGACCCCCAGCTCGGGTCCGAAACACTGACTGTCCAGGGCCTCGGGACGTCCTCCCAACGTGGAAGGCGCGATACAAATGTAACGTTGTTGTTGTTAAGTGCTCCAAGACGTGGGTGAAGGGTGCTATTTAAATACAAGTTGTTGTTACCTTTCTCTTGCCATCTGCGCCTCCCGTCAGCTCCTGCACCAATTCCTCCAGCTTCTGCCTGTCCCGTCCACACAGAACCAGCCTGGCACCCACTGAATGGAAAAGCTTGGCGCACTCTGAGGGGGGACAGGAATGGCCGGTAGTTTAACATTTGGTCCTTGTCACTGGAGCCATGTTTTTGACACGATGTGAAAACAAGTCGACAGGGAGTTCAAAATTACATAGGACAATCAGCTGATGGTCTGTCTGAGGAAACTATGTTTAAATATTATATTTATATATTACTATATCAAATGCAAGGATTATTATTTCTTATTAAAACTGTAGACTGCAGGGGACATTGCTGTGTGCAAAACAGCTGCCGCGTTTGCCTACAAAATACACAAGTCTTACAGCAAAATACTGTGAAGGTTATGAGATGTATCGACGACCCGATAAGGCTGTATTAATTGCAAGGATTATTATTGATTATTATTATTTTATTAGTAGTAGTAAGTTATTATTAAAGAACTCCGAGACATTGTTGGGTGTGAAGGGCGCTATATAAATGCAAGTTGTTGTTGTACGTTAGGGCAGGAGCTTCAGTGAGGGGAAGGAGTTCTCCTTAGTCCTATTCAGAGGTGTTTCTGGACCGGGCTACACCTGAGCTAGGGGCTGGAGCGGAAGAAAGCAGAGGGGTCTGTGTTGGTGTAAGTGCGAGCAGACTGGGTGTGTGTGTTGCATGGCGTTGTCTCTGACCTTTGCCGAGGCCGGAGCTGGCCCCTGTGATCACCACCACGGTGTCCTGTATGTAGGCTCGCTGCTTCATCCTCTGCAGCAGTTTGTACAAGACAATGATGCCCACACTGCCCAGCAACAAGGGCAAAATGTTTGAGCCGGTTATCTCCATCAACATCCCTTTGTACAGCATTCTCCTGCAGCAATCAGCACAGGAAAGCAACCAGAAGCGACAGTTAACAGTGGCACAATAAAATAAACTGTTCTTTTACAGTTAAAAATAACTAATGATAATAATGACGCTTGGCATTTAATACAGCTCCTTATCAGGTCATCGACACATCTCATAGCCCTTCACAGTACAGTCAAACCTGTTCAACCAACCACCTCCATTCAGCAACCACCCACCCTGTTAACAACCACCATGGGACAGTCTGGTTTGCTTGTCCTCCCCAAATAATTCTCTACTTCTCTCTCAAAAATTGTTAACTTTAATTAACGGTAACATTAATGGCTTGTTCCCTTCCTGGCTGCTGGCGGGATTTTGCTGCCACAAACAGAAGCTGCCATGTCCACACGAACCCCATTACATCACATCAGCCAGTAAACCCACTGGGTATGTGCAGTAAATACATCAAAGCCCCAGCCGTTCTCTACAGCACATTAGGATTGTTAACACCCACTCGCCCCCAATCATCGGGCACGGCCCTTTTATACTTTGCAGAGTTGTTTCACCCACAAAACACACAGTCACTCCACCTTACAGTATGTCCTGTGAAGCGCTTTGAGATGTCCCAATGACGTGATAAGGCGCTCTATCAAATGCAAGGATTATTAATATTACTGCTTCTTTAGCTCCTCAGCAAGCACTGATAGGGGCCTCGGCACAGCGACACACGCAGGCCCCATTACATCAGCCCGGCTGACAGCTGCCAGGACTATTTTCAGCTCACAGAGCCAGCCTCAGAGCGAGATTGCTCTAACCTCGTCTTTACATTGAAACAGAAATTCTCTTGCTGCTTTGGAGGAGAAAAGAAGGGGAAGACAAAGCAAGCCACCGATCCACTCTGCGTGTGCGTGTGCGCGCGCGCACGTGTCTGCACGCACTCTGTTTCACACTCACCTGATCTGTGCAGCCTTTGTCAAGGGCAGATAAGTCCCCTCTGTGATGGCACACAGCCTAGATATGTGAGCTGACGCTCAGCTCAACTGCAATGACTAATGGTCACTAAAATACTGTCAATCAGAGTTGTGAGTGGGATTCAGGAGAACAGGCGGCATCTTCTGCTGGACATGAAGGTGGGATTCAATAAAGTGATCCTTGCTTTATCGCCTTCGTTTCAAAGTGCTTCAAAGACTTACTGTAACTGTGACTTTGAACTTACACAGCCTGGCACACCCAAAACACTGCAGGTGCTGTCCTTCAGATAAGATGTTAATACCGAGGTCCTGTCTCTGCTTATTTCAGTTGAAATGACAGATGCTGCAGCGCTAATCGAAAAGGAAGTTTCTTTCTTCCCGCCTCCTGGCCAACAATCCCCCAAATTGGCCGATCCCTTCGTTGCTGTGTGCAAAATTGGCTGCCGTGTTCGCCTACGTTATACTCAGTGACACCACTTTACAGTAAATCCTGTGAAGCGTTTGAGACATTCTTTGAGACTGTACCAAAAGTAAGAATTATTACTGTGTGTGTGTGTGTGTATGTCAGTGGATGAATGTAGGAGGGGAAATGTACACACAAATGTATGTCAGACTCACCAGCTCATTTGATATATATACAGCGATCTTAGCGAGCATTGGAAATCTGAGCTGACACCAACTTATGGTGGATTGCGATGACCAAAGGTCTGATCATATACCCCCCACACCCTCTGGCTCTCTCTCTGTTGCTCTCCCCGCTGTCTCATAGCTCCGGCTCCAGACTGGAAGAGACCTGAGGCATTGTGGCAAGTGAGGTGCTGAGTGTGTGGGCTGTGGCTGCCACCCCCCTTCCCCGGTTATTTAGTGTTGTATCATGTATACACAGTATGTATACCATACAATGTATATAGTTTATATGGTATATATAGTGTATATAATGTATATTGTGTATACTGGCCTGGCACAGCGGTAGGACTCTCGCCTCTGAGTCAGAAGTTTGTGGGTTCAAACTCCATGTCAGGCCTTGGAATCACATAGTCTAAGCTGACTCTCCAGTTCAGTGCTGGGGGGGGGGGGGGGGGGAGCGCTGGATTGTCAGAGTTGCCGTCCTTTGGATGAGACATTAAGCCGAGGTCCCCTGTGCCTGTTCTGGTGGATGTTAAAGATCTGACGCCGCTATTCCCAAAAGAGAAGGGGGTTTCTCTCTCCCGGGGACCTGACCGACAATCACTCAAAATAAAATTTGGTCACTCGCTCCATGGCTGTTTGTGGGACACTGCTGTGCGCGTTTGCCTACAAAATACACAGTCACTGCACTTTACAGTATAGGGTGCATGTGTATCATCTATAGGGTGCCATGCATATAATCTATAGGGTGCCACCTATCTGATCCAAAGGATGCAGTGTGTATGAGCTATAGGGTACAGTGTGTATAAGCTACAGGGTGTGGTGCGTATAACCTATAGAGTGTGTGTGTAATCTATAGTGGTGTGTGTATGATCTATAGGATGCACTGTGTGTGATCTATAGACTGTGTGTGTGATCTATGGAGTGCGGTGTGTGAGCTGTAGGGTGTGTGTGAGCTATAGGGTGTGTGAGCTATAGGGTGCGGTGTGTGAGCTGTAGGGTGTGTGAGCTATGGGGTGTGATGTGTGAGCTATAGGGTGTGTGAGCTATAGGGTGTGTGAGCTATAGGGTGCGGTGTGTGAGCTGCAGGGTGTGTGAGCTATGGGGTGTGATGTGTGAGCTATAGGGTGTGTGAGCTGTAGGGTGTGTGAGCTATAGGGTGTGAGAGCTATAGGGTGCGGCGTGTGAGCTATAGGGTGCGGTGTGTGAGCTGTAGGGTGTGTGAGCTATAGGGCGTGTGAGCTATAGGGTGCGGTGTGTGCGCTATAGGGTGTGTGAGCTATAGGGTGTGAGAGCTATAGGGTGTGAGAGCTGTAGGGTGTGTGAGCTATAGGGTGTGAGAGCTATAGGGTGCGGTGTGTGAGCTATAGGGTGCGGTGTGTGAGCTATAGGGCGTGTGAGCTATAGGGTGTGAGAGCTATAGGGTGTGAGAGCTGTAGGGTGTGTGAGCTATAGGGTGTGAGAGCTATAGGGTGCGGTGTGTGAGCTATAGGGTGTGTGAGCTATAGGGTGTGAGAGCTACAGGGTGTGAGAGCTATAGGGTGTGAGAGCTGTAGGGTGTGAGAGCTATAGGGTGCGGTGTGTGAGCTATAGGGTGTGTGAGCTGTAGGGTGTGTGAGCTATAGGGCGTGTGAGCTATAGGGTGCGGTGTGTGCGCTATAGGGTGTGTGAGCTATAGGGTGTGAGAGCTATACGGTGCGGCGTGTGAGCTATAGGGTGCGAGAGCTATAGGGTGTGAGAGCCATAGGGTGCGGTGTGTGAGCTGTGGGGTGTGTGAGCTATAGGGTGTGAGAGCTATAGGGTGTGAGAGCCATAGGGTGCGGTGTGTGAGCTGTGGGGTGTGTGAGCTATAGGGTGTGAGAGCCATAGGGTGCGGTGTGAGCTGTGGGGTGTGTGAGCTATAGGGTGTGAGAGCCATAGGGTGCGGTGTGTGAGCTATAGGGTGTGAGAGCTATAGGGTGTGAGAGCTATAGGGTGCGGTGTGTGAGCTGTGGGGTGTGAGAGCTATAGGGTGTGGGAGCTATAGGGTGCGGTGTGTGAGCTGTGGGGTGTGTGAGCTATGGGGTGTGAGAGCCATAGGGTGCGGTGTGTGCGCTATAGGGTGTGAGAGCTATAGGGTGTGAGAGCTATAGGGTGCGGTGTGTGAGCTGTAGTGCGGGTCACCCACCGGCTCAGTTGGTGAAACATGTCTCGAGGCCGTCAGTGACCCGGAAGTTGATACCTCTGACGGACTCGGAAACTCCGCCCCGACCCCGAGACCCCGAGACCCGGCACTTTGGTTCCGCTCTCGGTCCCCGCGTTGATACGTCACACACTGTATATACACAACAACAACAACATGTGTACGGGCCTTCACGTCGGGAGGACGTCCCAAGGCACTGGACAGACAAGAGTTACGGACCCGAGCCGGGGGAGCGGGGCGGGGGGGCGGGGGAGCGGGGGGAGCAGAGGGTGGGGGGGGGCTGTTGGGAGATCGAAAGCACAGTCGAAGAGGAGGGTCTTGAAGGTGGTGAGGGAGGGGGTGAGGCGGAGGGACTGTGGGATGGAGTTCCAGAGGGTGGGAGCAGAGTGGCGGAAGGTCCGCCCACCGACAGTGGGGTGAGCGAGGAGGGGGGCGTGAAGCAGACAGGAGCCCACGGAGCGGAGGGAGGGGGCAGGGTGGCAGGGGGTTAGCAGGAGTGAGGCCACGGAGGGCTCTGAAGGTGAGGACCAGGATCTTGAGCTGTATCCTCTGTGCGATGGGAAGCCGGTGGAGTCGGGCGAGGACGGGGGGGATAGGGTCGCAGAGCCGGTGCGGGAGGGGACACGGGCTGCAGAGTTCTGGATGATCTGCCGCCTGTGGAGAGAGGAGTTGTGTACACACTGTATAAAATATATCAAAACATATTTATACATAAAATCTTCTCACCCAATCAGCCCCACGTTTAACCAACTTTGCATTTCAATTGTTAAAGGGAACAAACTATTGCCATTGAAATTCTGGGAATCTCCCAACACTGAGGCTTCATCATCTCATCTCGTCTCTCTCCCCCCCCCCCCTCAACCCCCTCACTCTCTCCCTCTCTCCTGACAGTGTTTCCCCGAGTGAACGGCGTTTTTCACCAGTTTATCTTGTTGCTGTTTACTAAGATATAAATAATAATAATCCTTGCCTTTGATATAGCGCTTTTCACGTTGGGAGGACGTCCCAAAGCGCTTCACAGAACACACTGTAAAGTGAATTGACTGTATATTTGTGGGCGAACGCGGCAGCCAATTGCGCACAGCAATGTCCCACAAACAGCCGTGGATTGAAAATGACCAATTTATTATTGTTTTTGGTTTTGGAGGGATTATTATTATGGCGCTATTCTGAAAGAGAAGGGAGTTTCCTCGTGGAGGTGGGAAGCATGACATTCTCAGTTTGGTTTGGATACTCTTAAGCACGATGATGGGGTTTCTACCGGTGTAAGAAACCCAACTGATCCCCCCCTCACCTCCAAAAAAATCTCTCTCGGTCTCTTGGCCAATCCCAATCCCCCCAAAATCGGTCATTCACCCCACGGCTGCTTCGTGGGGAAGTTGCTGTGTGAAAATTGGCTGCCGCGTTTTGACAACAATAATAATCCTTGCATTTGATACAGCGCATTATCACGTCTTCGAGACGTCTCAAAGCGCTTTGCAGAATATACTGTGAAGTGAAGGGCTTTGAGATGTGATAAGGCACAGTATACAACGATAGATTAAAAAAATTCAAAAAAGGCTCGATAGCAATTAAGTACATTTACATTGAGTCGTTGTATTTGTTTAGATCACCATCCTGTGGGAGGAAGAAGTAACTACAACAACAAACAACATTATTATATTTCTATCGAGCCTTTCACGTCAAGAGGACAACAACAACAAACAACAAGATTTCATTTATGGAGCGCCTTTCACGTCGGGAGGATGTCCCAAGGCGCTGGACAGTTGGGTCAGGACCCGAGCATTGGGGGGAAATGGTCAGGGTGAGGGGAGGGAAGGGAGGGAGCGAGGAGGGGGTAGAGAGTCAAGAGGGGAGCTGAAGGCACGGTCAAAGAGAAAGGTCTTGAAACCGGCCTTGAAGGAGGAAAAGGAGGAAGCGGTGAAGGCACTGGGGGATGGAGTTCCAGAGGATATCCCAAGGTGCTGGACAGTCAGTATTTTGGACCCGAGCTGGGGGTCGGGATCGGGGAGGGTGGAAAGCAGGGAGATCAAAAGCACGGTGGAAGAGGGTCTTTAGATGGTTCTTGAAGGAGGCAAGGGAGGGACCGAGGCGGAGGGACTGTGGGATGGCGTTCCAGAGGGTGGGGGCAGAGTCGGTTGATTGCCCGCCCGCCAATGGTGGGTGGGCTGAGGGACACAAAATCTGAATTATTTTAGAGATTTCTATATTTATTAAAATAAAAATTGACTGAATTCAAGACAAAATGGGCTTATAAGCTACTATAAAGGTGGAATTAAACAGCCTTCAAACAGATTCAGCGAAATGCGGGAGGAAAAAAGCACTGCACAGCGTTGCTCCTTTAAAGCCTTCCACAAGTTTTAAGTGGGTTTATTTTCAGTCAGTTATAAAGCTGACGCAAAACAGAGACAGTCTGCAAACAGGCATGTCTGTCATCAGCGTTATTCACATCGTTCCCCAGTGTCTGGGGCAACTGTGACTGTTCCCAAGCACCGTCCAATTCCAGCTGCTATTTTGTAAAGAATTATTATTGTTGGACGAAGGTTGTGGCTGGGTTCAAGGTTCACTGTTCTTGCAGAATAAAAGACCATTTTGCTGTATTCATTTGTATCTGAGCCAAAACCAGTCACTCTTTCATCAGTGGAATTAACACCGAAGGCTCTAGTGTTGGAAAAGACCTTTGGACAAAGGGGGATGCATTCCCCCCCCCACCCCGAGTTCATCTCTGGACTATATAGGTTATCATTCAAGGAGGAAGGTCTTGAGATAGACCTTAAAAGAGGATGAGGGGGTGAATCGGAGGGACTCTGGCCATCAATGTAATGGGCTGGCAATATTCAAGCTGTTCAGTTCTGAAGCTCTTTGGGGGGGAAAAGTAACATCAGTTTCATAATATATGGGAGTCCAAGGTGCTGGCTTTGAACCTACGAAAGTTTTGCTCTTGAGGGAACCAGCACAGACATGATGAGCCAAACCAAAAGGCCTTTTTCTGTGCCATAAAGTCCTACGATTCTTTGGTCCTGGTGTGCAGATTGAAACCCACAATCTCCTTCCCAGATTGACTGGGGAATTGAGTTAGAAATAATGCTCATTGGATGTGGAAGGAAGAGGAAAGGAAGAGACAGCAACGGAACAACTCACACATACAACTTGTCTCAATAGAGTGAACTTTTCCGATGGGATAAGAGAAGAACGGAATACAATCCACGTAAAGTAAATTTTAATATTTATAAAATCATATATACATACATAATAGAAAGCTATTTCAAAGCTAAAATACAATTTATACAGTTAATAAAAAGGCATTTGAATGTTTACATGATTTGTTCTTTTTTTACTTGTATCTGCTGTATAGAGTGGCAATCCAGTGAGCAGTTTAGTAGTGTTAGTAGCACTTAAGTGTCCATCCTTAGGCATGCAAAATCCTAAATACTGTACAAGTCTTATTGCAGAGGTTTTTTTTTGTAGAAATCAACTATTTTTGATGAAGGAAAGAAATGAAAGTTTATTGTTCTTAGGATGTCAGAGATCAGAGAGCAACAATTTTGGTTAACTCCGTCAGCAATGCGTGTGTGGTTTGTATCTGTCTACATAGGCTACTGTACCAAATAACTACAAAAAGATTTCTTTAAGTCAGTAAAAAAACACAAGATCAAAGCAGATCTTTGAATTCACAGCATTACTGGAATAATGTAAAAATTGGCATCTTCATTGTCTTGCTGCCATCTTCACTAACCCAGTTGAAACCGCTGCTAATTGGAAGGAGCGAGAGAAAGAGAGAGAGAGAGAGAGAGAGAACAAGGGAGGAGGGAAAAGACAACAACATATTGAGTGCTGGGGTTTTTACAGTTGGACGTGTTTTCCATTAGTTGGGAGTCATGGAAAAAATTCCTCTCTCAAAAGGCGAGGAAGGTAACCTTTAATTAGCAACATTACGAACCATAGGCTTCCACTTTTACAGACACTGCCTGCTGTGTGCTGACGGCTCGAGCACATCACTTAAAAGTTAACATTTCGTCTGAGAAGTTTCCATTTTGTGAATGTGAATACGAGGCAAACGGGGAACGGGGGGGTTGGCATCACCCCACTCTTTGTTTTGATACGGCTCAAGGTCTACTAAACGTGCCAGATTATCTGTGGCGTGTAACACGTCAGGGTAAGATTCCACTGCCTTCTTTTAGAAAGAAGTTCTTCACATGATCCTAAAAAGTACTCTGTTCCATTAACACCATCACCGATTGGGGTGAAACTGTACAAGTTTGCTTCAAGTCACTTGTGTTTCAGACCTGGGAAAATGTAGCTAAAATTGATTCTTTTTTTAGCTATATTTTCTTGCGGACCCCAATTTAATCCGAGAATAATTCCTACTCGTTTTGTGCTTTCGAAGCTTAGAATGAAAACAATTTAGTGTCTTGGAACTCAGACAAACTGAAGGAGAATGAATGTAGGGATAAAACGATGCCCTTAACAGCAAAATGTATCTGCCTTCGAAAAACAATCCTATTAAGAAACCTTTTGCCTTGACCACAAAAATCAGAGCGAGGAAGCAAAGACACTTTCTTGTGGGGGAGAAAGAAGTTCACAAGAGTGGTTTGGATACACGGAGAGAGACGAGATGTTCTTTGTCCAGTGTCTCAGGGATCACGTGCAAAGGTCAACAGGACCCTGACGTAATTAAAAACAATGGTTGGTTCCCACCTTATTTCAATGGGAGTTGACTTGGGTTTGAGACCTGTTGTCCATTTCAGGCGGCTGCTACTATTATGTTGGGAACTACGGTCTTTCAAACCATTGCTGGCTGTGAGCACAGAAAAAGGAGGCACGGTGCCTACAAACTAATGAGCAACACACAAACAATCAATGTGTCTCATTAGCCACGGACACGTTTAATGGATAACACGCCGGTGGGGATTGAGGCTTTTACTCTGCACCACTTCTGCCAGTTTTCAATTGCAGACAGATCAACATTAAAGCTGCTTTGAAGCAGAGACCCAGAGGTTAAACCCT